AACTAATTCACTTCATTGTACTGATGGGTTGGTCATAATAATCTGGCCGGTCATAATAATCTGGCCACTCAGTGTATATATGAACTCTTCAAAGATGGTCAGGTACTAGTACATTAAAAAGTATAATTCGTTCTCTAACCTGATTATACAAATATATTCTTCTAATTAGGGTAGATTGATGAAATCCCAGTGTCCAGAATGACTACTCAGGAGAAAAATGGTATTCAATTAATGCAACCCACAACAGCTTCTGTAGCTCTCTGTACTATTGATTATTTCTTTATGTGAAAAATTACTCATGAATAACTCATAAAACAACAGCAGCATTCATAAAGATGATAGCAGGACATATATAGTAAAAAATATTCAGCAATTTACTCAAAGGAAAGCTATTTTATTACCTCTATTTTCATAATAATTCTTGGTACCGGATGCAAACAAAACAGAAAAGCACACTCTTCTTGCTCTTGACAAATGCTGATTTTTATGCTCAGATTCACAAAAAAATAGACAGATGAGAATTTGAAATTATCCATAATTAAATGATAATCTGTAATCACTCACCATTAAGCAAAACATATGTTAATTAGAGAGTCTAAACTAATTGCAGGCTGTCAAATGCATATGTGTCATAAAAGTTTCTTATTTTCCTAATAGTCTATAATTATATATTTCACAATAGACTAATGGATTTTCAGGAGCCATCGCATGGAGCAGCACTCACTCTCATTAAACAATAAGATAAATAATTTAGGAAGAGCTGTTTTCTCTCTACTATCAAAAATCAAAGCCAAATAAAACCCTGGTCCAGGAAACCATCATCAATTTATATTAATAATCTCAACAAAATAGAAAAATCAGAGCGTTTCTTTCTTGGGCTGCTATTTAACTTTTTAATAACTGTGCAGTTTAAAGGATTAAATTTTGGCACAGAGCACATCCTTATCGAAACCCATCCCATGGGGTTTGTTGGTGGAGGTAATAAATAAATAATAAATTCACCACTTTTAGTGATTTTCTAAAATACTATGGAAACTAATTCTTGGCTACCTCTTTATTAATTCTTGAACAGAATTAACGCAAGTGAGAAGGGAATAACATGGAATAAGAAAAATAGCTTCGGTGCACCTGTAAATCTCTCTGGTGTGGGTTTCTCTAGCCTCACATCAGATTCTGAACAACTTCACACTCCACGGGCCGTGACTTCACTGACTCAGCCCTGCAGGCCTGGGAAGCGAAATTGATTGTGACAAGCTCCATCTACAGTATCCAGGGTTGGCACGGAGGCCAGAGGCCCGCCAATGATTCAGCAACCCATGCTATTTATAAAACCACAACAGCCATGCAAATAATCGCAGATTTTCAATACCCCTGTCATTTTTGCCCTATAGCACCATATGAATAAGAATACAAGAAAAATCAGGCAGCAAACACATCATACATTTTTAGGATTTCATCTTTTGCCAAACCAGCAGAAGTCAGAGGCCAGAATTCTTGTATCGACATGTATTTAGCATTTTCTAAATTCCGGACCCTGGGCAAAGCACTCCCACTTAGTTCATCTTATCACATATTACTGCATGCGGGCTTTCAAGTGGAAAATGCAGGGTATTTTGCAAGTTAAAAATACCAACATGTCTATTTTACTAGGAAAACGTTCAAATAATTATGTAATTTCTAAAATCCCTTAATTATTCTAATAATTCCTCTCTATCCTGACCTTCATTTTACATATGTAAACACTGTCAGTGACTCACCTTAAATTCTCTTACAATTATATTTCATAATTATATTACTGCTTTTGTTTTTAATTGCTAACTATTAAAATTAACTTTTCTTTAAGAATAAAAACATCAGACGTAAGAATAAAACAATCAGTTCTGTGGTCCTCACACATTGGTTCTGAAGGTTAAGTCTGTGAAAATATACCTGCATGTGTTTAATGTTGGGATGAGTAGAAAATATTCGCTATTTCCTGACACGGAAGGGGAGTTAAGAAAATAGGGATAGGAGTGATGCCTGCTTCTCGGCCGGTCTCAGCGTTAGCGGACTTTTCAGATAAAAAGGGAGGCGCGGTAACAGCTCTTTCTGAGGCCTGGACCAGAAGCCGGGCTTCACAGGTATTGGTCAAGGCAGAGGTCATTCCGGATACAATTTTACACATAGTTAATTAAGTGGTATTTATTGTATTACTATTCCCCTGAGTCGTTTCTTAAATTATTCAATATCTGTGGTAAAAATCATCACTCTCAGCTTCTAGCATGACCCAGCCCTTTCCCCAAATCATCTGGGAGCAAATGAATTGTCCTGGGTGTTCCTACTTCACCCCCCCCACCCCCGAACCATCATTTTCAAGTAGGAGTCAGGTCCCAAAAACACACGTGTGAAAAAGCTCACGGTACCTTACTGGGCTGAGAAATCATGTGGGATCCTTGAGGATAGCCGGGTCTGAGGGTTACAGTCAGGTGGTTAGCAAGGACGTCACACTGCAGGGCGGGATCAGCTGTCAGCAGGGCGCCCCCTGTAGGACAAGGACACTCATTAGAACAGGGTGATTCCAAGTCCCCCAGGCCTTCCCAAGACTCCCTCTCCCATTCATCACCTTCCTACACACAGCCATGGTTTTCTCTCCTTGCGCAGATGCGAGAAGGAACAGGAGGGTACAGCCTGTCAAAATGACAATGTGCATTGATTCCTCTTATCTTGCTGTCTTTGGGAGGACAGCTTATCTCATATTTACAAAAGAAGCAACTCCCTATCAGTGTTTCTTCTCCAATAAGTGACAATGGCAGGCCTGGTTGATAACTAATTGCCTGTTTCCAGAGCAACATTTAAAATGTAAATGCAAATCACCCACCCACTGGAAAGGGGTGGGAAAGTGCCTTTGCCTTTGAATAAATAGACACCTGATTTAGAAGGGATAAAAGCCAAAACCTTCATTACTATTCTGAAAGGATAAACATGTGCATACTTTAAAGTAATGACTATAAAAAAGACCATTAAACACAGTCCCTTCAATACAAATAAGGTGTGAAAATCTACGAGGTGGTAACACTGCTATCGCTCCCTTCTTCTGGTGTGGGAAGCATAAAATTAGCCAGAAAGGGAGCATTTGAAGAGAAAGAGCATGAAGAGGATGGTTCTTGGACCTGAGCAAAAAGAGCTGCTGTGCCTGGACGCCATGAAGAATCACCATGTAGTCGGATCAGAAAACAGACACTTACGGGCCGTTCTCTGTCCTTTACTCTGAACGGTCATCAGCCTATCACTGTACCCCACATGTTTTCATTGACTTTGAAAGACACCATTGAACCAAGTTGTTCATAGACACAGGGACTCTAGGCCCCAGAAAACGTTTTCCCCAGGGCATCGCATGCCTTAGAGGCAGCCCTGGAGGGGAGTCCTAGGAAGACTAAGTAGATAGCTCTTCCCCTGGGGGCACACTATTCCTCGCGTGTTCTAAGTTCTCCTTGACAGGAAATCGCATGGGGTCGCCTGCCTTCTTTCCTTGTCCCCACAGTGTCACCCTGGATGGAGTGTGAACAAATCACAGGTCCGCTGTTTTAACTCCTTGCGTTTTGATAAGCAGAACAAAACAAACAAACTTAAAGACTGCCCGTGTCTGAATCCAGCTGCACGCCCTCCTGGCGGCACAGCCTCAGTGGTTTATCCGCGTGGCGCTTTGGTTGAGTCATTACTAGTAAAGCATCCATCTGTTCCACAAACATGTACGGAACACCTTCCATGTACCGCACCATCTTCTTCCATGAGGCTGAGATACATCAGCGACAAAAAAACGATTCCTGTCCTCAGGAAAGTTTGAAGAACACTCTCTCACCATCATAGCTTTTTTCTTTATCGGCTTTGAAAATTGTTTCGTCTTAAAAAAATAAAAATCCTGACTTAAAATGCAAGTATCCTAGATGGAAAGTAGAGCTGAGCCTGTGTCAGCCCAGAGTCTAATTATTATCGCAGATTCAAGCCAAGCTCCCCTGGCAACTAAAACACAGTGAGACACTGGGTAGGTGTTTGGGGTGGGAGCAGTGTGCTGGTATGCTGGCTGAAAACAAACAAGTTTTGATGTGTAGGTGGGCCAGTTTCTGTGGTGTAAATGCCCTCATCTTGGCTGTGCTTAAGCCACCAACGGCAGCTTCCTCGAGCTTGTAAGTCCTGAGTTTAACACCCAGCTGAAGAGCAGGCACACGCAGGCTTCAGGGGGGCTGGGGGCAGCGGCCCGGTAAAAGGCAGAGCTCACAGCGAGGCAGAGGCAGGTCAGGACCCCGCCCCACAGGAATGCTCAGAGCAGGCGCCAGTCCTCTCCACAGTGCTGTGCTCTGCACACCGATGAGTTTTTTCATTTACAAATAAAAGCACCCAGTGTCATTAAAAACCACACAACTAACCTTAGCCCTCACAAGAGCAACGATTAACCAAGCTCCTAAAGCAATTGTGTGCCACTTTAAAAGAATTATTCATCCAATTTCAAGCAGGTAATAATCCTGATGTATTCAGTACTAGTGAGATTGTGTCTGATATATTTTGACTAATGTCGTCGTCAGATTATTCATACACAAATAGACACAAACATATAAACACATAAATGATATCATTTAGCATTTCCTGTGTGCCAGGAACCATCATAAGAATGAACATAATGTTCATGAAAGCAAGGCATTTTGTCTTTTTTCATGATGTTTCTCAACCATCTAGGACAGTGGTCGGCAAACTGCGGCTCGCAAGCCACATGCGGCTCTTTGGCCCCTTGAGTGTGGCTCTTCCACAAAATACCACGTGCGGGCGCGCACTTACAGTGCGATTGAAACTTCGTGGCCCACGTGCAGAAGTCGGTTTTCGGCCTGGGCGAGTCTATTTTGAAGAAGTACTGTTGATATTTGGCTCTGCTGACTAATGAGTTTGCCGACCACTGATCTAGGAGATTGTGTGGTCCATGGGAGATGCTCTATAAATATTTGTGAGATACATTCATGCTTTACATGTAATAACTAAACAGAGGGACAAGGTTACATAACTGAAGGCACAAGCCGGTCAGGAGTGGGGCTGGAATTCACACATGGGCAGTCTTTTCAGGGGCTCTTTGCAAAACTAAGAAATGGCAAGAGGAAGAGAAACAAGAGTGGATTTCCAGGAAATTAGATGGTGCACTGAACGGTCCACAGACCTGGAACTAATATTTGGAGGAAACAAAACTCCAGTTGGAATTGTCTTCACCCAGTAAAATGCTAGCTGTTTGTTTGTGTGGTGTGTTTTTTCAGAGTATTGCTTCGAAATTTTTTCGGAATACAGATCCTCAATAAGGCAGGCTTTCAGTTCAAAATCAGGGCACGTTTCTGGGAATTACAGCTGTCCCATGATGCAGCCAGACCGGAAACAGGGACCCCGTGTCTTCCTGCTCTGCTCATGGAAGTTCAAGCAGGAGACGAAGAGGAGAGAGCTCTGCATGGAGTGGGAGGTAAACCAAGTAGACCGTTCCCGGCTCACATGTTCCCCGCTGTAAGTAGGAACAGCATTGCAACCAACACGTTTTAGAGCATCTTCACCATCTCATCCACCACCGAATCACAAGTGGCTTATACATTTGAGAGCCCATGTATGAGCTGATATATCTGCCTGGTTCAACACATCCTATTTTTTAAATCAAAATAGAAGACAGAGAAAACAGGATACAGATGAGAAACCCAAGAGAACAATGTTTACAATTAAACCCCCTCGACAAAGTCTCTAAAACATCACTTATTCCATGGCATCTAACATTTTAATCCAGCTAGTTTTTCAGGTAGTGCATAAATTCATTATAAAATACTTTAATCAGCTACTTATTCATTATGTCTCTAAGGTATGGAAATTAGGGGAAGTTTTCTTGCAAAGATCAAGGAGTAATATCCCATGGTAGCAGGTTGATGCATACCTATGATTTCTTATTTCTCTGTGGATCCTTCAAGAAATGTATTCAGTGCTAAATTATAACGTAGGGGCTAGGCATGAAGTTACTGGAAACAATTCATTATCCTCTCCATCATTAGTCTGTGGAGCTTGCCAGATGGGAAGTGATAAAAACATTATTTAGAGAAACCTGGAATACTGCGTGCAGTCAGAATTTACCCGGGTGCTTTGTTACTGCTCTTTGCATGTACTTTTTATACCATCAGGGCCAGGACATAGGCACCTTGATGCAAATTAGAAAAGGGTTCCCATCTGTCTTCCCCTCTCCTCTGCCCGGGCTCAGGACTCAGCCAACAGAGCTGGGGAGATCCTCACGCCTCGGCCAGGCCCCCTTCTGAGGGGACATGATCTGACAAGCATTGCTAGAAGCCTGGGGGGACTTTTAATCACAGGCCTGCTCTGATTTTGAAGAGTAAACGACTGGAAAAGAACGTATATGCCATATGCATTGCCCATGGACACAGACAATAGGCTGGTGAAGGCCTGGGGTGAGGTGGGAACTGAGTGGAGGGGACAATGGGGCAAGAAGGGGGGCGGGCATCTGTAATACTCTCAAGAATAAACATTAAAAAATAAATAAGTCAATAAAAATCCTCCCATTAAAAAAATTTTTTAAAGAAAAACAACCTAATCCAATTCATTAACTACCCAACACTTACTAACACCATCACCACCACCTCCAGCACCAACCACTGGGAACAACCCAGAAGTAGTGAACTGCCAACTAGGTACGTCTCCCATTGCATTCTCAAACCTAGCACTTCTCACAATTGGTTGAAGAGTCTAAATCAGGCCACATGCAAATCACTCTTGCTCCGGATTCAGCCTAGTGTTGCCTTTGGATCCTGCCTTGGCTTGCTCTACTGCTCTACTGGCATTGGGGTGTTCCAAACCCCTCCCCCCAACCCCTCCTTTACCACTGAGTTATTATTGCTCTTTCAAAACTCCGTTTTTGGTCTGGAGATTGTTTTGACCCCATTTTCCAGACTTGACCTTTCCTTCACACTCCTGATAATTAAGCAAATATTTAATCTTCCAATTATTATTCATTCAGCATCTGCCATATGCTTGGCGCTGGATTTGTTGTGAGGCGGCGGCGGGAAGGGCAGCAGGTGTCTGACTGCAGGGGTCAGACCAAACCTGGGTTCAGCAACCTTGGGACTTGGGTCTGGCTAGGAAGGAATTGAGAGCAAGCCCCAAACTGCAAGAGAACGTTTATTGGGTAAGTCACAGAGGTAGAAAAAGTAATTCCTAGAAGAAATGGGCTTAGCAAACAAGTTTTAGAGGTAAAGGAAGGGCCTGGGAGCTTGGGAGCGAGGACGCTAATGGTAAAGTGCCTGGGGAGCAGAAGGGGGAGGGTGAGGGAAATGGAGAGCAAAGGGAAAGGCAGGAACCTGCTCCCTGGAGGGAGAGAGCACACTGGGTCCTCGTCCTGAGGGTTTTAGGGGGGAGACTTTAGGGAGGTCCCGGGGGAAGGTCTCAATAGAATATTCAGCAGCTTTCCAGGTGTGTCCTTTCGGGGTTCCGGGTCTCCACTGATGGACTGGCCGGCACCAGGGCAGGGGGTCGTTAGTCAGTGCATCTGGACCTGACGTCAGCCTTGGCTGGTTTGCTGCTTCTCTGGGCCTGGAGCTGAATACAACTGAGGCCCAGATGTTATCTCTAGGGAGGAAAGGTCAGGGGTCCTAACCTCAAGACCAGCGACATGCCGGGGAGGAAAGGTCACCCTGGGGCAATTGATTGTCCATCGCCAGGCGCCTGGAGCTTTCCAACCTGCCGACCTTCTGTACCTGGCCCATTGTCCTCGCTCTGCTCATGTCTGTGTAACCACCTACAGTGGATTGATTAATTGTCAGGAATACAAACATGATTAGGAGACATTGTTTACCCTGTCCTTTACCCTTATCCTAAATATAAACACATTACAATATAGTCATGTAAATGCCACAGTGGAAGTAATCAATCATTCAGACAATGTAACTGAAGCTAGAAGAGAATTAGGTCACCTGCAGAAGTAACAGAACTGAATCCATGACCCAGGTCTCCTGACCCTAATCTATCGTTGTAATTATTATTTTAAGGTAATAATTTTAAGATAGTGCAGTTATCTTCATTTGATTAATTTGTTAATTGATTATTTTATTCACTCAGTATACTTATAAGCAGAAATATATGAATTATTGTGGCAAGAACTCTGTATGATGAAGATCTAGTCTGTGAACACAAAATTTACAAATTGAAGAAGGAAAGAGAGAGAGAACAAATGAGAATGAGAGAGAGAAAGACTGAGAGAGAATATAATATGCTTTGACTTTTGTAAAGTGAACGGCTCAGATTAAATCCCATATTTCTTACACCTTTGCCTACATTTTCTGACATTCTCAGCATACTATTTAAAAGGGTTTCTAATTGACAGACATGAAAGGTCATGTTGAACATCTAAATTTGCACATATATTACATTTCTTACTTTGACATTGTTAAAGTCTGTTCTTTTTATGTAACATGGAGATATAGGAACATTTTGTACATTTTATAATTTTAAAAACAGTTCTATTTCAAAGTAATAAAATGGATCGAGATATTTCTCCAGAGTTTAGCTCTTGCAAAGAACACACTAGTTTGAACTTCTGTTTTAGCTAGTGGTCTTTACCTATTTGTCTGGTCAAACAAGCCAGAACTCGGAAGGTTAAGGTAGACCTCCCGCCTCCACATCTTCAGATCCCATTCATCAATCAGTAAATTAAGTGGAACCTCCTTTTGAAACCACTTCCTCCCCTGCAATTACCACAGCATTTCTGTGATTTGCACCTAGACTATGGCAATTGCCTCTAACATACCTTTCTACCTCTGGCCTTGACCCATTCCATTTCCTCCACTCTATTGCTCTAGGAGTGATTTTTAAAAATATATATTTTTCTTGATTTCAGAGAGGAAGGAAGAAGGAGAGAGCTAGAAACATCAATGATGAGAGAGAATCATGGATCGGCTGCCTTCTGTACACCCCACACTGGGGACCGAGTCCTCAACCCACGCATGTGCCCTTGACTGGGATCAAACCTTCAATCCATAGGCCGACGCTCTATCCACTGAGCCAAACCAGCCAGAGCTAGGAGTGATTTTTATATAAACCAAGTCTCCAGGGTTTAAGGCTCTTTATGGGTTTCAATTTCCTACAGAAGAGTGTTAAACCTCTTGTATATGTTCCTCCTGACATTACCTCTGCCTGCTTTTCCAACTTAATCTCTCCTTTGTCTCTCTGAAATCTTCATTCCCAGCCATACAAATCTACCTGAATTCCTTCTAAATGCTTCCTCTTTTGGAAGGCATGCCTTTTCACATCCTGCCCTTTCTTCTTAGAATAACCTTCACCTTGCTCACTCACAAAAAAATCCATTATTCCTCACTCTTACCTTGAATTGTACCACTATTGAAGTATCCTTCAAATAAACACTGCTTTTTGTTGCCATATTTTTTCCCCTCCTAGTCTATCAGATCTTGAAAAAATAGGACATATTCATCTTTGCATCCCTATATATCAGTATAATGTCATTTTCAGAGCACTCAGAAAATGGCGGTTGAATTCAACCCCCTACTGTGGAGTGTTTCTAAGGCGGCCTCAACTTTTAAGAGCTTGGGCGGCTGAAAAGCCATGTCAGGGATGGGAAAGAAATGGGCTGCCTGGGACTGTCTGTTGACAACGTGACACAGTGTCACTGTTTCCATTCAAATCTGGGACATGTTCATAGGATCCTCCTCCCTGTAAGGTGTCAGGTGGGTGTTTGCCGAGGACAGGGCCTCACACGTTCCTTGGAAGGCGCGCAGACGCCTTTACTCTCAGGAGGCCCTGTGAAGCCGACATGATGACTTCATTCGCTGTGGCACCTCTTCAGAGCCCTTCATGAGCTCCCACTTTTGAGGTTTCACATGCACAACTTCACGAACATCCGCATGATTTTTCACTCGCGCCAGCGGTTCAGAATGAGATGATTAATGAGTTTCTCTGGTCCTCTAGCTGCAGCCTTCCAGACAAACAAGCAGCCTTGCAAGATGCTTTCATGTCTACTATTTGCATGTCCAGAATGACAGTGGGAGAGGTTTTGAGTGGGACAGACTCCCAGAAAACAACAGGGACGGTGGGGTATTGACGTGACCGGAACCACGTGATGCATTTAATTGCTGCTGGTGCTTAATTGCCAGCATTAAGGTGGCCATGGTTACCATAATGGGTAGCAGGGATGGAGTCGTAGTCACATAGTTTGACTGGTAGAGATCTTTGTCTGTGGCTAAATGATTATATCCCTATCACTAGTATCAAGGTGACTTGATTAGTACAAGTGAAACCTTTGGGACCGGTGACTAGAGGCCTGACTTGTATGGCTACAGTAGAGTTGAGGTCCTTGCCCAATCCCTCGACTTGCGTGGTCTATGGACTTAGAGCACCACCTTAAAGGAAGAAGAGGCTGACCCCTTGAGAAAGGACACTGCTATACTCCAAACATGTCCACTGTCAATTATCCATTTAGCCTTTTCCAAAAGACCTTGCAGCCACTTCCCAGGGTATTTGTGCTTCAGGGAAAGAAATAATCCAACACCTTAGGGATTACAGGACACTAGCTCAGAGCTGCCAGACATTCTTGGGGATGCAAAATAGCACAGTGATCCACTTTGCAAAAAATTGGGGTTGCTTATGAAAGCCGGTGATTAATGTAGATGCTTACTTACCCTTCTACAGTGGGTACTGCAAGCCATCTTGTGGTCATATTCCCCGTTCTAAAATGAAGAGTTGGAATAGACGCATGGGTGTCCACTTAACAAGGTTGATCACGCTCTATCAATGCCGAGTGCCTGACCTGCCAACAGTAGAGACAAACTGTGAGCCCGAGTATAACAGTATTCCACAGGGTAACCAGACAGCTGTATGACAGCAGGTTAATTACACTTCTTTCATGAAAGGAGCAGCAATTCTTACTGAAATAGGCATTTAAGCTGGCTGAATTTCATTCCATGCTCAAAAGATTTCTGCTGGTTAGAGATCTTAGTTTCCAGGGAAATAATGATCCCACAAAGGGATAAAAAGATGGTTCCATTAAACTAAAATCTGGGAATGCCACCTGGTCACTTTGAGTTCCTTGTGCCATCAAATTAACACACACAAAAGCGGTGACTCCAGTACGTGGTACAATGAATTGCTAATACAAGAATTACGCCCGATGTGGTAGGCAGACTACTACGATCTCCAGCAATGATCCCCGCCTTTTGATACTAATGCCCTTCTGCAATCCGCTGCTTTTGACTATGAGCTGAACCTAGTGACATGCTTATAACCAGTAGAACGTAGCTATGGATTTAGTTCCTCACGGGATGTGATGCTACTACATGATCAGGTTATAAGATGTTGTCTCTTTTGTCTTGTTAGACCCTATTGTCTTACCAGCTCACACAGTTTGTGGAGGCAAGCTGCTGTTTGCTTGGCAAGAAACTTAGGAAAGCTCCTGGCCAAGAGCCAATAAGGAATTGAGGTCCACAGTCCAACAGCCCGGGAAGAATGGAATCTCGACAATAACCACATGGGCTTAGAAATGGATCCTCCCCCAACCGAGTCTGGAGATAACTACATTCCAGTCAACACTTTTATTACAGTATGGAGAGGTCCTAAAGCAATACATCCAGATAAGCCATTCCCAGATTCCTAACCTACATAAGCTATGGGATAATACACATGTGCTGTTTTAAACTGCTAGGTTTTGTAGTCATTTGTTACGCAGCAATAGCTAGCCAATACACTCAGAATTCAGGAGATTGCCTGGGGCACCTCTTCATACTCCTGTGACAAAACTGAGTAGAAAACTATAAGATAAGCAGGACTGACGATAAGCCATTCCCAGATTCCTAACCTACATAAGCTATGGGATAATACACATGTGCTGTTTTAAACTGCTAGGTTTTGTAGTCATTTGTTACGCAGCAATAGCTAGCCAATACACTCAGAATTCAGGAGATTGCCTGGGGCACCTCTTCATACTCCTGTGACAAAACTGAGTAGAAAACTATAAGATAAGCAGGACTGCTGATGACAAAAAAACTCCTCTGGAATAAAAGTTTTGGTCACCAACTGATCAAAGAACCACAACCATGTGAGGTACTTGCTGAGAACAAGGTGGATATGACATGGGAAGTAGACAAAGATATAATACCCCCTATGGCCATGTGACCACATGCAGATATAAGGACTAAGGACTATAATAGTGATATGCATTTTCTTGCATGTGTATCTGTGTGCGGGGGTATTTCCATTATGCTAGTAACTGTGGATATGTAGTTGCATTATGTTAGTCAAAAGCATGATGTGGTTATTATTTCAATTTGAAAGTTTAAAAGGATTGTATGAATGTCAAGTTGATAAAAGGGTGGACTGTGCTGGATTGTGCTATGTCAATGTGGTTAAGCTTGAAACTATGTCTAATCAGGTTTGTGACGGAAAGGACTTAGTGTTAAGATGAGGGAGAAGTGACATAAATAACATTTTGTGGGGGAAGTCATGAGGGGGCCGACTCAGTGGCTTTGCTAAAGTGGCTCTTAACTCTCTGTGATCTTCCAGACACAACCTTATAGCGCATTGTTCCCTCAGCTACTTCCGCAGCCGGGTGACACTTCATTCCTATGTTAACCCCTTCTTCCTGTACTACTTGTCACTATTACCTCACTAGATCCAGACTGACACACCCAGTCGAATCTGTATGGTAGTATGTCCATGTCCTTTTTTTTCTTTAAAGTTTGCATATTTGATATTTTACCATAAGCTTGAACGTAGTGAAGAAATACAAAGATGTATAAAGAAAAAAATGTATCATCTGCCCCATGCCTCCTCCCCCATCCCATCCTCTGAGTCAGCCCATTTTAAGTCTTATGCATACATTTCCATACATCTCAACTTGCTTATTCAAACTTATACAAGCATCTCCATGCATATGGAGGGAATTCTTTAAAATTTCTTTTGCCTAATTTTTTATTCTGTTACAATAAAATCATACTATAAAAAGAATCTAAAATTTTGGCAAAATATTACAGTACTAGGGGCCTGGTGCATCCTATGTTAACCCCTTCTTCCTGTACTACTTGTCACTATTACCTCACTAGATCCAGACTGACACACCCAGTCGAATCTGTATGGTAGTATGTCCATGTCCTTTTTTTTCTTTAAAGTTTGCATATTTGATATTTTCAAATTACTATTTTACCATAAGCTTGAACGTAGTGAAGAAATACAAAGATGTATAAAGAAAAAAATGTATCATCTGCCCCATGCCTCCTCCCCCATCCCATCCTCTGAGTCAGCCCATGTTAAGTCTTATGCGTACCTTTCCATACATCTCAACTTGCTTATTCAAACTTATACAAGCATCTCCATGCATATGGAGGGAATTCTTTAAAACTTCTTTTGATTAATTGTTTATTCTGTTACAATAAAATCATACTACAAAAAGAATCTGAAATTTTGGCAAAATATTACAGTACTAGGGGCCCGGTGCACGAAATTCATGCATGAGGGTGTGTGTGTCCCTCAGCCTGACCTGCACCCTCTTCAATCTGGGAGCCCTCGGGGGATGTCCTACTGATGGCTTAGCACTCCTTGTTGTGGTTCTCTGCTCTCTGCAGGGCCTGCCTGCTCCACACCGCAGTGACTGCCAGGCAGGCCGTGCTGGGTGCTGCCTGCGGGCCACACTTGCCTGCTCCCCAGTCACCACAGAGATGGCCAAGAAGGCTGTGCTTGGAGCTGCCTCCTACCTGCTGTCAGTCTCCACAGAGGCCATGAGGCAAATTTGCATACTCACTCTGATTGGCTGGTGAGTGTAGTGGAGGGACGGTTAATTTACATGTTTCTCTTTTATTATATAGGATTTGTGGTTTTTTTCACATTTTTTCCAAAATTTGAATAATATTATATACATACTTTTCTACATTCTGCTTTTCATAAATACTTTATGACAATCCCTCCAAGTCAACTGGCATAGCTCTAATGCATTTGTTCATGTAAATGAGTGCAAAATATTCCAGAGCTTGGCTACTTCATAATTTATTGAAGCATTTTCCTAGCACTGAGCATTCCGGTTAACAGTTATATGCCATCACCACCCACAGGCTCAGCGTGATTTGCTTTGTTTGTATGGAATGGATGTGCCCACTGAGTGGTCTGGGGCTATGAGGCTTGTGGACTTACCAATGACGGCTGTAAGGTTGTTTTCCCAAAAGGTAGCAACAATTCATAGTTCTTCGAGAATATATATTAGCACCCAAACTTCTAATATTAATTTAAGTTTTGTAACTATTGTTGGCATTTCCTTAACTATTAATTTAATAACATTTTTCATGAGTTTATTTGCCATTTGATTTGCTTTTTGTGAACTGACCACATTCCTATTGGTTTATTTTTACCTATTATTTACATATGGGGGCCATTTTATTTTTAGCCTTGGAATCTGAACTTTTACTTTGGTAAATTCCTCTAGGCCAGTGGTCGGCAAACTGCGGCTCATGAGCCACATGCGGCTCTTTGGCCCCTTGAGTGTGGATCTTCCACAAAATACTGACTTCTGTGCATGGGCCACGAAGTTTCAATTGCACTGTACATGCACGCCCACACGTGGTATTTTGCGGAAGAGCCACACTCAAGGGGCCAAAGAGCCGCATGTGGCTCACGAGCTGTAGTTTGCTGACCACTGCAGTCTAGGCCTACCTGGTGCTCATTAGCAGAGAATAACGTTTTTGTAGGTATTCCCCTCCCTCCCTCTTCCCTTCTGTTTGAGCTGCTATCGGTCAGATGAAAATATCTTCCTCGTGTTTTATATTTCCCCTCACATTTTCTTGGAAATGGCTTGCTGGTAAGACACGGGCGTGACTTTGAGGGGTCAGCACCTCAGTGGGGGAGTGATGGCAGACATGGTGGAAATGGGGCCTGCAGAAGGGACTGAACTGCTGCATCTCATGATAAATCTTTAATCAATGAGGAGCTGCTTCTCATGGATGAGCAAAGAAAGTGGTTTCTAGAGGTAGAATCGAATCCTGGTAAAAATGCTCTAAAGAAAGTCAACTTTCAACATCACCTACCCTCTCTATTTCAAAGGTCCAAAGCCCAGTTCCCTGACCTCTCAACTCACTCACTGGATGCAAACAAGAATCCAAATAATAATAATAAATCCTCCGGGACCTAGTCCCAGCGCTCCTCCTGCATCTATAAAAGGGCATATGGCTAGACAGATAAATTCATGCATGTCACGCAAGTTAAAACAATTGAGAAGCACTAACAAGACCGTTTCTATTAGTTTCTTATTAACAGAATAAAGCTGCTGAAAGATGTATTATATTTTATCTATATTTTATATTCACATTCAACTGCTCGGCATTTACAGCACCTATGGAAGGATGCATGTCACAGTAGTCTGACCTATAAGCATATAATGTAATGATGATAAGTGAGAGAGCAGAGCATGAGTGCAGCCCACTTTGGGGCAGGGCTAGATGCCTCATGGATTAGTCTGAATTGTTTTTCACTGAGATGAACTGATCAGCTTAGACCCCGGGTTGCCGATTCCAACCGTACCGTCACTACGGAATGCAATCAAGCGACTGCAAGCTCCCCATTATGAGGACAATCGGGTTGAGTGTAGGAACAAATAACAGGAATGCTGCTCCGATTGTGCAGCAGACTCAGAGCCCTGCTGACGTCAGGTCCTCGTGTTTATGACCTTTGATCTGCAGCCCCGCGACATGCAGCGGGCAGGCAGTGTGTCCCCAAAGAGGAAAGAGCAAGAGCCCCCTTTTCCGCATGCACTCTTCCTTGCCTGGGGTTTTCTCCCCTTTCGTTAGTTCGCCTCCAAGTCCCCAGCCTCTGCCTTCACTGGCCGATGGCCTCAGCAGTCAGACCTCCGGCTCCAGTTAAAAGGCTGTGAGGGCCACAGGACAGGCCGCAGCTGTTTATCCCTGGAACTAGAGCAGCACTTGCAACACTCTCGCTTCAGCACCCTGGGAGTCACAACCCACCACCATACTCTCCTCATGCTTAGAGAGTGTTCCCGACATGGGGAAATAAAAAAAAAAATAGAGCTGGAGAAAGGAGCCCCGGGCGACTTGTGGGCAGGCACCATTAGCGCCAGCCACACTGTGATGGATTGCAAGGGTCACACCCTACCCGCCGAGAAGGAACAAGGGCCACGTCATTGGATTTTCAAAGTCCTTTGTGGATGAGAATTATAGTCAATAATGTCACCCACTTCTGGGAATTAGAAAACTCTTTGCTATCATTAAAGCCAGAGAGGGAGCCTCCTGCAAACACTTCCTACTAGCAAACACCCACGAGCACAGGCAAGAACTAGTAGAAACGTGAAGCCGAAATTTGGGTTAAATATAAAGCAATTTTCTGAAATGCACGCAAACGAACAACACGGAACAAATACAATATTTGTATTTGCATGTGGCCTGCGGGCCGTAGTTTGAGGACCCCTGATATAATGTAATGATGAGAAGTGAGAGAGCAGAGCATGAGTGCAGCCCACTTTGGGGCAGGGCTAGATGCCTCCATGGATTAGTCTGAACTGCTTTTCACTGAGATGAACTGATCGGCTTAGACCCCGGGTTGCCGATTCCAATCGTACCGTCACTGTGGAATGCAATCAAGCGACTGCAAGCTCCCCATTACGAGGACAATCGGGTTGAGTGTAGGAACAAATAACAGGAATGCTGCTCCGATTGTGCAGCAGACGCAGAGCCCTGCTGACATCAGGTCCTCGTGTTTATGACCTTTGATCTGCAGCCCTCCGACATGCAGGGGGCAGGCACAGTGCATCCCCAAAGAGGAAAGAGCAAGGGCCCCCTTTTCCGCATGCACTCTCCCTTGCCTGGGGTTTTCTCCCCTTTCGTTAGTATTCGCCTCCAAGTCCCCAGCCTCTGCCTTCACTGGCCGATGGCCTCAGCAGTCAGACCTCCAGTTAAAAGGCTGTGAGGGCCACAGGACAGGCCGCAGCTGTTTATCCCTGGAACTAGAGCGGTCCACTTGCAACTCTCGCTTCAGCACCCTGGGAGTCACAACCCACCACCATACTCTCCTCATGCTTAGAGAGTGTTCCCGACATGGGGAAATAAAAATAAAAAAAATAGAGCTGGAGAAAGGAGCTTCCCTTCTGTTTGAGCTGCTATCGGTCAGATGAAAATATCTTCCTCGTGTTTTATATTTCCCCTCACATTTTCTTGGAAATGGCTTGCTGGTAAGACACGGGCGTGACTTTGAGGGGTCAGCACCTCAGTGCGGGGAGTGATGGCAGACGTGGTGGAAGTGGGGCCTGCAGAAGGGACTGAACTGCTGCATCTCATGATAAATCTTTAATCAATGAGTTGCTGCTTCTCATGGATGAGCAAAGAAAGTGGTTTCTAGAGGTAGAATCGACTCCTGGTAAAAATGCTCTAAAGAAAGTCAACTTTCAACATCACCTACCCTCTCTATTTCAAAGGTCCAAAGCCCAGTTCCCTGACCTCTCAACTCACTCACTGGATGCAAACAAGAATCCAAATAATAATAATAAATCCTCCGGGACCTAGTCCCAGCGCTCCTCCTGCATCTATAAAAGGGCATATGGCTAGACAGATAAATTCATGCATGTCACGCAAGTTAAAACAATTGAGAAGCACTAACAAGACCGTTTCTATTAGTTTCTTATTAACAGAATAAAGCTGCTGAAAGATGTATTATATTTTATCTATATTTTATATTCACATTCAACTGCTCGGCATTTACAGCACCTATGGAAGGATGCATGTCACAGTAGTCTGACCTATAAGCATATAATGTAATGATGATAAGTGAGAGAGCAGAGCATGAGTGCAGCCCACTTTGGGGCAGGGCTAGATGCCTCATGGATTAGTCTGAATTGTTTTTCACTGAGATGAACTGATCAGCTTAGACCCCGGGTTGCCGATTCCAATCGTACCGTCACTGTGGAATGCAATCAAGCGACTGCAAGCTCCCCATTACGAGGACAATCGGGTTGAGTGTAGGAACAAATAACAGGAATGCTGCTCCGATTGTGCAGCAGACGCAGAGCCCTGCTGACATCAGGTCCTCGTGTTTATGACCTTTGATCTGCAGCCCTCCGACATGCAGGGGGCAGGCACAGTGCATCCCCAAAGAGGAAAGAGCAAGGGCCCCCTTTTCCGCATGCACTCTCCCTTGCCTGGGGTTTTCTCCCCTTTCGTTAGTATTCGCCTCCAAGTCCCCAGCCTCTGCCTTCCCTGGCCTGTGGCCTCAGCAGTCAGACCGCTGTGAGGGCCACAGGACAGGCCGCAGCTGTTTATCCCTGGAACTAGAGCGGTCCACTTGCAACTCTCGCTTCAGCACCCTGGGAGTCACAACCCACCACCATACTCTCCTCATGCTTAGAGAGTGTTCCCGACATGGGGAAATAAAAATAAAAAAAATAGAGCTGGAGAAAGGAGCCCCGGGCGACTTGTGGGCAGGCACCATTAGCGCCAGCCACACTGTGATGGATTGCAAGGGTCACACCCTACCCGCCAAGAAGGAACAAGGGCCACGTCATTGGATTTTCAAAGTCCTTTGTGGATGAGAATTATAGTCAATAATGTCACCCACTTCTGGGAATTAGAAAACTCTTTGCTATCATTAAAGCCAGAGAGGGAGCCTCCTGCAAACACTTCCTACTAGCAAACACCCACGAGCACAGGCAAGAACTAGTAGAAACGTGAAGCCGAAATTTGGGTTAAATATAAAGCAATTTTCTGAAATGCACGCAAACGAACAACACTGAAAGAGCCTCAGAATGACTGATTTATTTTGAATAGTTAAGACTTTCGTTTACCTTGATAGCAGTCTTGGGCAATAATTACAGGCACCTGTACTGTAGGTCGCAGCTCAACGACGATTGCATAATTATGCAATTCGATACCCTAATGGAAATACCAATGCCCTGGCTTAAAGGCTAGCTCTCTGTGGCTTTCGCAGTCAACTGCACGGACACATTTTGAGGCTGGCTAACTATTTATAGTCTCCTGGTTTCACAACTGTACTGGCAGGTGCGATGTGCATATAAATAAATGGCCACGTAAAGCATAAAATCTAAGTGTTGTTGACACTTTTTCCAAATGTAAATTGCACTTTAAAAAATTGCTATTTAGAAATGAATTTATTGCTACAAAGAGGCCAACTATAAAATGATTACATAAAGAGAGCAAAGGTTTAATTTAAATAGGACAGAGATTTATAGAATCAGCTTTAATATATAGGTAATGGAAAATGTAAGAAGCAGCCATGTGGAAAGGTAAAAATGCCTACAAAAATCTTTAACAGAAAATTTCTTCTAAAACTTAAACAGTTATCTACCCAGCTGGTGTGGCTTAGTTGGTTGGAGCATCGTCCTGTGCACAGGAGGGTTGCCGATTCGATTTCTGATCAGGGCACATACCCAGGTTGTGACTTTGACCCCAGTTGAGGTAAATACTGGAGGCAACAGATTGATGTTTCTCTCTCTCTCTCTCTCTCTCCTCTCTCTCTCAGGAACCCTGGTGGAAGCCATGCGAAGAGGCCGCCAGCCCTGCCCCCACTCTGCATGCCACCATCTTGTGACAGTGTTATGGCATGAGGGTCAATTTGCATATTACCTCTTTATTATATAGGATACATTTTTAAAACAAAAGGATAATATTTTATATTTAAGGATATATGGATAATAAAACCCCAAAATAACTAAGGCTAACAAAAAAATTAAAAACCAATAATTTAAAGTTATTAAAATTGTTTAATGTGTAGTGGGGTTTTTTATTTTAAAAATTTTAAATGTTTTTCATTATAGTCACATGCATAACAATGTGAAAAGTACCACCTGAGATATTAAAACATTCTTGTGTTATGTGAATAACTTTTAATTGACAAGAGGGTATCAGAATTTATTTTTCTTTCATGAACATCTAGCTCTGGAACCAAACATGCAAAATGACATAAATTCATAATATATTTTCAATCCTGAATGTATGAACTATGAACAAGTATATGTGTAGTTATAGATATATAAACAGGAATTTTAAAGATACAGAAATTGAAATATTGGGGAGTTTAAAGTATCCAGGATAAAATACAAATAGCACAATATAAACTCAAATCCAGTTCTTTCATTCCTTTATACCTGGTGCGTTGGCTTAGTTGGTGGGAGTGTCTCCTGTACACCAAACATTGCAGGTTAGAATCTTGGTCAGGATACATACCTAGATTGTGGGTTTGATCTCCAGTGGGGCGCATACGAGAAGCAACTAATGGATGTTTCTATCTCACATGATATTTTGTTCTCTCTTTCTCTTCCTTCCTCTCTCTAAAAAATAAAAAAATATATATCTTTGAGTGAGGATTTTTAAAAAAAGCTTAAAAAAACTTAAATAGCTATCTAAAAATTAAGGAAAAAATAAATGAGATGCGGTCAGCCATAAACATTTTGCACAGCATCATAAAATGCAATTGTCGCAGGGAAGTGTGCATTTCCACAGAGCGTTCTCTCTCTTAATCATTACTATGTATGGAATACCCTCTATGTTTGAACTTTATGGGTAATTTATTTCTTATATCAACAATATTAAGGATAGCCTCTGAGTTTATTTCAATATGTGCTTCCAAAGAATAAACGATAAAAGAGTTTACAGACACAACAGGACCACTTTGTTTTCTCTTCAAAATAAAACCTTGTTCCTTTAAAACAAAGGAAAATAATGCAGCCAGCTTTTCCTTTCTCGGGAAGTGGAACGCACATCTGAATGTGCA